TAATGTCTGAACTGTCCTGAGCGCGTCCTCGACAGCCGGCGCGTGAGGCGTCTTCTTCTTCTTCTTCTTGCTTTACGGCGGATCGCAGACTTATAAATGCATTACCACCACCTATCTCTCAAATGGACCACTGACACTCTATCTACAATCTCAATTAGGAGTGTCAATGGTCCATTTGAGAGATAGGTGGTGGTAATGCACTTATAAGTCTGCGATCCACCGTAAAGCAAGAAGAAGAAGAAGACACTTCACGCGCAGGCTGAAGAAGACGCGAACGCGCTCAGGACAGTTCAGACATTGCGGTGAAAATCAGAGGTAAAAAACTATATAAATACTGTTCAGTTTCTTGCACAGACCGATCGTTTTGTGTCTTCACACATCAATGTATCGTCACGAGCCGCAGGGTTTAATTTGGTTTTGTTTGTGTATGTTTTTTTTTTACTCTCAAAGCCGTGATTCCCATCCACTTACATTATACGACTGACAGACTGCAACGGTTTGAGTTAAAAATATCCAACAAAGTCACCTACATCTTGGATACCCTAGGGGTAAGCAGATAAACACCAAATTTTAATTTTTGGGTGAACTATCCCTTTAAGTTACTATGGGATATTCAAGCAGTGTAATAATCTTTTACAATCTTTTTCTTTATAATGTAAAATTCCTGTTTTGTTTTTGTTTTTTTATAAATCCATTTTGCAATGTACTCAGTTAATAAAAGTAAATTGTTTTATCAGAGCAGAATATGGTACAAACATTGCTGAAGGGGTTGTTTTAGGCAATAATTAACAGATATTATGCAAAACATATTACTTTAGTTTAAATATTTTTATCAATATTGTGGACCTTTTGCCCCATACTGGTGAGACTTTAACCTCGAGTGTGAGATAAAAGTCCATCCTTGCCACCTCATATTTTTCTATATTTTTCTATATTTCTTTGGAAGTTGCATTCAATATTAATTTGGCTGAAAACTCTGAGGGGACTCGTGTCTTTAGCCTGATTGTACTCTAATACTGGTGTGCAGTAATGAGAGAAGCACTTCTAGATTCTAGCAGTCACTGGAGCTGTGATATTAAAGAAAAACACTATAATTCTGGTTTTGAAAAAAGGCTCCATCAAAATATTGCAATTAATAAGATGCAAATTAAATGTATTTATTTATTTTAACCAAGCATTCTTCATATAGCAGCCCTTAATTTGTCCTTCGTGGACAAATTTGGGCATAAAGGTCTAAGCTGTGATCCCAATTTTTTTTGTTTTTAAATAAATGTCATATCACTGTCTTCGATAAAAATAAAAACATAATATCAATATCATAAATATCAATTTATGCAGGTTTTTTTTGTGATTTTTGGTGTTTTTTTATTTATTTACCTCTAAAAGTAAAATTTGTATGTAAAATATGTTTATTTTATGTTATATTTAATCTTTTTTATACTTCAGTAAAAGAAAAAAAAAATCATTCCAGTAAGTTCTAGTAAGTAATCATTCCAGTAAAAAATCATTCCAGACAGCCAAAAACTAATATTTTGGTGAGTTTGGTGACATCTGGTGATGGTATAAAAATATAAAAATATCAAAAATATAAATAGCCAGTATATGGTTGTAGTACTCAATGGCTGCATATAGGCTGAAATCTATAAACCATTGTTGTAATGAACTTAACCACTTAAGTTTTAGATTTTATAAGTTAGAAGTGTAGAATTAAAAAAAACAAAAAAACATTTGTGCTGGGTGAGATTATACAAAGATGCCAAAATATGCGTAAAGACAAATCTGACCATGTTATACGGAAAAGAAAAAGTAGGAGACAGAGTAATCACTTATTTCTAACAAACAAAAAAAAATCAATAACTCAAAAAAGAAAAATGGAAGCAAATGGTGCCAAACAGATAAGAATAAACACTAAACCTAACGAGTTTTTTTTTTTCATTTTCATCAACAAATCTTGCAGTAGGACTTTGATCTGACTTTGAAGTGTGTGTGTGTGTGTGCACACAGTGGCTGAGTGGCACAAAAAATAAAAATAAAGATCAGTCATT